TATTGTGGAATGATATTTTGATATCGCAACATATGGATTGGGTGTTGCCGAGGCATATGGAGGACACGTTAAAGGCGTGGAGGAGAAAGTTTCGAGATAAGGATAGCAAACTTGTTTGGGGCCTTATTCCGGGATGCATCGTTTGGTGTGTGTGGAGAGAAAGAAACAGTCGCTGTTTTGAAGACGAATCACGGACAAGAGAGCAGATTAGGGAGTTGTTTTATTTCACTTTGTATTCTTGGTTTAATGCTGCGGCAACTAGGCATATAGTAGGGTTGCCTAATTTCATGATGTTTCTCTCTGATTTAAAGTGATAGTACACTTCATGTGTATTATGCTTTTTTTATATAAAAATTTTGATTACCTTTCAAAAAATGAAAGATTTACACTTGAATATATAGCATAACACATATCCAAGTACCCAAATACCTTGAGTAAACTCAAATGCATCCGAATTATAAGTACAAAAATTTAACTAATTTTAAGTTTATATGTATCTACGTATCCATATTTAAAATTTGAATCCATTTTAGCCTATCCCCACATCCTATATTTTATGAAGAGAAAAAAAAAAAGATGCGATCTTAGCAACATGGATTGCTCTCTATAATTTGTTTTTTATATCTTGTCTGTATCTGTTAGCTCTTATTGTTACAAATAGTACTTACCTAAATTTTATACATATTTGAAAGAAGTGGTGATGAGTTGAAAGCTTAACTCTTTGTTTGAAAGTCATCTCAGAATTTTAGTAACATGCATTTTAGTTTATATATATATTCTTGGTAACTAAAGAGTTGGTCTGCCAACCATTCCTGGTTTTCTGCAGGATCCAAAATTGTTAGAAGCTTTAGTAGAGAGTAGAAAAGGGCAAGCTCCTTATGCTGGTGCCTTCCTACTTAAAGATGAGGCAGTATATGATGATACAGATGAAAAAAAGAGATATGATCTCAAAGGAAAAGAGTTATTTAATCTCCTTCATGAAGTTGGTATACTAGCGCTTGTAATTCTCTTGCCTCTATTTTTGTTAAGTTATTGTTTGAAGTTATTTATCTGTGGGAAGAAACGTCTTGAATTCATCAAGCTGGCTCGATGATCTTAAATTACAAGAATCCAAGGAGATCGGGTGATTCTTATTGGTCACAGGTGACTTCGAATAACTGAGATGGTTTGTAGGACTCTTTCTACATTTATGGTTTGGTAGATTTTGAAGTTCTGCCTCTTGTTCCTTTATCTGTATCTGCATCTAATAGTCTTTTCATATGTATCGAAAATATCTCTTTTGTGTTTTGGCAACTGCAGTAATGTGTGGTACCCAAAGTGTTTTATACTAACTCAAATTTGTTCTATCGACGATAGTACAAAAGAGGAGAAAGAGAGGACTACATCACGATTTCTTCATCCTGCTCCGATTTCTAGCGCCTTTCTCCGCCTATCTGCCTATGCTAACGGGCTAGTCAAAAATCATGTTCTTTCAGTTTAGTTGCAACTTTTTTATTTGAATATCTTTTTATTTAGTAGAATCCTAACGAAAATAAACTGTTGAACCTAAATTGTATCAATCCTTGAAAAGGAATTATATTTTGATTTTAAAGCTCTCGTGTTAATCGGGCATTCACTTTGAATCTATGTTTAATATGGTGAATCTCTGCATATGATTCTCACTAGTAATTCTCAAATGCGTAAACTAGGTTCCCATGGATCATGCTTGTCGTTTAACACCACGAGAGCCTTGGAAAGTGCCAATTTTTTCTCCACCATCAAGCTTGTGAGCCTCAGTGAGTAACAACTTGTAGATCTTTAATCCTCTCTCTTAATCTTGGCCAATTGGCCTTCTATTGCTATTTCTTGTCTTTCACGAGCATGATCGGACACTTAAAAAATTTTTCAGTATTTTGGTTGACATTCACTTTGATTTCATTAGGTGTGCACATCAGGTTACACATTCTTCATATTCATTTCATTAGCTATTTCTGGTGAAGTTTGTCTCCTATGAGAATGTTAGGAGGTTTTTCATATTTAAATTTTGGTTCAATGCACACCATGTTACGTATTCTTCATTTTCATCTGGTAGCTCGTCAAATACAAAGAGACTGTGTTCATGTTTTATTCAGCAGTCGAGTTTTTGGGCGTTCTCCCACTGATGGATATAGGTATATCTTTAATCCAGTTCTTTTAGCATGTTGTTGTATTTATCAGTTTTATTGACAGACAATAGTTACAACTACCCATGGAGTACACATCTTCATTTCGCTGCACGAGATGGTTCACTAGACTATGCTCGGAATTGCTTGCTTGGGGTGTTGATCGTCTTAAAAAAGATTCCTTTGGGTGAGCCATGGAACTTTCTCCCAAACAAATGAATCTTCCTGGAAGTCACTTAAATAATTGCACATACAAGCTGAAATTTAATTGTTTTAGTGGTTTGAAGTATTTTAGTGAAAATCAAATATTGGTAATTCTCATCTAGGTAATTGAGAATTTTGGGCAAATATACGGATAGCTAAACCGGGCAATTTCATGTCCCTATATAATCCTTTTGAGACTTATTTTTGAGACTAATGAACCAATCCATTATACACAAGAGATGTTGTAGTCAACGAGCAACTAAGGATGAAAGCTTCGAGATAAGTAACCTCCAAACGATTTCTTCTCTTTTCTTTTCCAGTGAAATAGATGGGGAAATTTTGAGATGTTCACCTAATCTTATTGAAGGTAATAAAAGTGCAAATCGATAAAAAAAAAAAAAAAAATTGTTCATTTTGTGTTCATATGCTCGTTTAAAGCTAATGGGTTGGATTAAATTGCTTATTATGGCTTTTGGAGCTTCAGTACAGTATAAAATTATTTTTAGTATTATTATTTTTCAAATTTTTCTCATAATGTTATGCTGATCTATTTCCTTCATAGACCAATGTACTTGATTTTTGCCATTCTTTAATAGATTTAAGCAGTGTTAATTGAAAGTGGATAAATTAATTAGTAAAGTAGTTTCCTTGTTCTATTAAGTAATTTTTGGTTTTTTCTCCTTCAAGTATCATGCCTCCTCGTTTGAGAAACTTTTGAGAAAGTCGAGAAGAAAATAACATGTTTAGAATGAGGTTCAATAGGCTCACTTGAAAAGGAACCGGTGAATAGAAGAATAGAAAATGGAGTTACCGCTCCAAATATCTTTAGGTTCTTGACTTGTTAAATCTTCTCTTTGACGGTCAAAGTTAAATGATCCAATATTCTTGAGTCGGAATTATACACGAAATGGTCCAGTACTAGATAACTTCCTCCACATCAGTTTGTCATTTGGATTTACGTCAATTTCTAAGATCGTTTGGATACAGTCATAAAATATTCGCCATGATCATTAAATTATAATTAACTGTTGTATTTGCTACTTTCAGGAAACCTTGTTCGGGCTATCATCAACTAAAGAAGATGACTAGCAGCAAAATATTTGCAGCTGAAGTGAGAATGGGGAATTGGAATGTGGAACTTCAGATAAACGAACATTTGTGCACATTTTACAGATATAAAGCATCCTTTGTGCTGAATAAATGGAAATAAAATTACTCTTTTTTGGGTTCAGAGGGAAATGCTTAATGCACTGCACATTGCCTTTGATTGTGGACATAATCTATTTGTATTAAATGCAAAAGCAAACACGGATTGCTTGACAAGTTCATAAATTTCTGATTTCTGCTCTAATCATGTGCAAATCTCATAATTTTAGAGTAGTATGGATCAAAATTATCCGTTGAGGAACTCAAAGAATTTGATGTGTCCAAAGCTGACTACGAAATCAATTGGCATATAAATGAGTTAAAAAGTCAAAGTCTGCAAAATCAGGAATCATTTGCTGACATATATGGATAACTTAATAGCAAGTGGGCAATACTTGTCTGAGCATGCAACGAGGGAGAGAATCATGTTTGCATTATGAGTACGTGGAAAATTTTCAGGACCTTAGTGGGAGAAGCATGGCGATGCCTGGAGAGCAGTGGCCGGAGACTCTGATGAGGCGATCTGTGGAGGCCTTATTAGTGGAGAAAATTACGGTGGAACAACAACGTTTGGGTGTGGATGAGAGTAATTGTTGGGAAATGAAAGATAAAGGCAAGAAGAGAATGAAGAGGAGGAGAAAGAGAACGAGAGGACTTGACAGTTGGCCTCAGTACTAAAAGCTCTAGGAGCCTTGAGGTAAAAAATATTTGGTCTTTTGATCACTTCAATTAGCACACTTAATTTGATAATCTTGAATTTTATTCATATCCATCATATGGAAAGAACCCGCGAAGTGATTATGGAAATAGATAAATTAATGGGTACAACATGAAATAATATTTCAATGTTCTGACATTGTTACTTCAGTTAGAGCCTCAATATCTATTTTATAGTTAAAAGAAATTTCCATAGCCTTCCCTTCTGCTTGTTCCAATATTTACTTAATGTGACCATGCATGTAAGATATCTGTAATTTCGGTCGTGTTCCAATTAAACTTAAAAGTTTGTTGTAGAAGCTTATTATTTGTTATCCAGGCTGATATAGAGACGGATGAGGTCTGTGCTCAAATGACCTTGCACTCATTGAGCCCAGTACGTCGACTCTTATGTTAAGATTAGTTCATCACTCATTTCATGTTTCATTTCTATTTTGTTAAATCTGAATGCGCCTATAATGCAGCAACAACAAAGGGGTGTTACCTTCATGTATGTAGATTTGGGTGCCCCCAGCAAACAACCAATGAATTACTTCTGCAAAACATTGATGACGAGTGATACAAGTACTCATGGTGGATTTTCAGTTCCCTGCCAGGCGATTGAGAAAGCGTTTCCACTATTGGTAAATAAATTTGATTTTTAGAAAATTATAACCCATCCAGTTTTTGTTCAATTATCCGTTGTGTCCTGTACATATGTTCTAATGTTCTCGGCCTGCAGGACTTTTCCCAGCAACCTCCAGCTCAAGAGTTGATTGCACGGGATCTGCATAACAATGAGTGGAAATTCAGTCATATTTTTCGCAGTAAGTTTCTTAACTGTAGTTAAGGTTAAGGGGTGGGTTGGGGAGAGTGTGCTCTTATTTATTGGATATTTGATAAATGGAGATTATTGGATTAAGCTTAAATATATCTCCATACTACTCTGCTGTTTTTGGTAGTTCTCAAGGACTAAAATAACTATCCCTTTTTAATGTTGGGTGATTTTATGTGATACAATTGCCGTAAATATTTTTAGTTCCACATTTACCCTTAACATCAGTGTTCATGGAAATTCATTTTAAATTATTACGTGGAGGTATTTTTGGTAAACTTATTGTTAAAGCGGGGGTGTAATTTTCTTTCCAATCCTCAGTCTAATAAATGTGGTTTGTCAAACAACTATCCTTTGATTAATTTCCAGTGCGATCGAGTTTTTAATGGCAGTTTTCATTTCTTCTCATATCAGAAATCTATTCTCCAAAGTTCATTCATTCTCTTCTTTTATACAAATGTGTGCATGGTAATTTTGTAATACAATTTTCGATCTAATCTTAGCATTCAAGACCCTAATATTACCTTAAAAAGAACACAGCACGTGCATTGCACGGGGCAAAAACTAGTTTTTATAAAAGATTATTATTATTATGCAAGGTTAAGAACTCGTTTGACATAACTTTTATTTTTACTTTTTTCTTTTGATAGAAGAACTTTTGGAGGAAGTTACCATAATTTTTGTTTGAAAACTAATTTTTAAAAGTATTTCCTAATCTGACAGTATTTTTAGAAGAAGTCATATTGGACCAACTTCTAAAAGCGTTTCTAACTACCAAAAACACTTTAATAAAATTAGTCAAACGGATCTAAAAGCAGTTTTGAATTTCAAAAGCTCATTTTGACTTTTTGAAAGTCATGCCACATTATCACATTTATGTATTGGACTTTTTCATCGCATTCTTACTCTTAAATTAAAACAAATTCGTCCTAATTATGGTTTCTCTTCGAAATTTTCTTTAACAGAGTAAAAATATTCATTTGTCTATTATATTTTAAAATAAGTAAAAATAATAATAATGCACAAAATTTGATTATTTGACCCTCATTTTAAAATGTATTAACAATATTTTTAGACAAAAATCATAATTAAGGACAATATTTTTTTATAAATAAAATGTTAAAAATTAAGAATTTGATGAATAAAAAAGTTCAAGATATGAGAGTGATAAAATATAAAGGTTAATGACCTCGATGTAATTAAACTTTGGTGTGAATGTTGGTACGATAGGTTAATGTGTTTTGCGATCCACAAAACTAATATGGCATTATCGATAGTAACTGTTGAAATATATCGAAACTTGTAGAGCTAGCACTTGTTTGGTACTGCTAAAAAAATTGATTAAAATTTAAGTTAAAATTAACCATTAATTGACCGTTCATTTCATATGACTCACAACTTTTCAATTATAAATTTCATAATTTTTTTTTTCAAAATATGATAAAAATTTGATTTTATTTCTACGAATAAGGGGCTTAGTTTTTTTAAGTGTGCCGATGTTTAGGTAGATTAAATAGCCATTTATGTTATTGATGTTAATTTAAGTGTTTTAAAAGATTATTTGCAGAACAGTAAGTACCGATAAAATTTCGGTAAATTTTTGCTGGGAAACAAACACGAGGAAAAAAATGTACTGCATGGAATTCTTTATGACCCGTTTGGCCCCATTATTTGAAATTGTGATTTTTTTAATAGTATTTTTTAAAAGAATGTGGTTGAAAATGGATGAAAAAATTTTGATTTACGTGTAATATTATTTTATGAAATATTGCGTGGTTAAAAATAAGGTAACGAATAATAATTTTTGGGGATAATGGGCTCCAAGTTGTCAATCAAAAGGATTTTAAATAGAGGAAATTAAAGCCTCACAGGTTTTTAAAATGTCATTTTCATAAATCCAAAATCAATTTTAATAATAAATAAATCTGACTTTAATTAATAATTTTAAATTAATTTTTATTTAAATAATTAGAGCCTCACAGGTTTTTAAGATACAATTTTCATAAATCTAGAATCAACTTTAATAATACATAAATCAGGTTTTGATTAATGGTTTTTAAATTAATTTTTATTTAAATCAAGCCTACACAATTTCAAACCCTAATTATTTCATTCTCTCTCTCTCTCCTACCCAATTTCTCTCCCCTCTCTCTATCCCTGCCGCTCTCTATCCCTGCCGCTGCCACCACCACTCCACCACCACAACCACCATTGGTACCACCTCGCCGGCACCTAAGCCGACGATTGGCACCAAAATTCACCGGCTTGAAGGCTGCAGCGCGATAAATCATCTCTTTCATTTGCGCAATAACTTCTGAATCGGGTTCGTCCATGGAGGATGCAATTGAGGTAGGCTGCTGGAAGTTTATGTTTGATGAATTTGAATGATTATCTGATCTGGACTTCTTGGATTTTGAAGGATTAGACAAATGATTCGACTGATGAAAATCAAGATTTTGGTGCTGTAATCCATTTGGTTTTTATCAGTTGACTTTCTGATTTGGTTCTCTTGTCGGGATTAGGCTTATTAGCACTCGAAGAACTGGGTTGCAGTGGTTCTGTGTGTTTTGGCATGGTGCGGTGGTTCATGGTGGTTGTTGGGACTGGTGGTGGTGAGGTCATTTTCTGCTGGTGGTGGTGGTGAGGCCATTTTCATTGGAGGTGGTGGTGGTTGTGGGGGGTGGTGTTGGCGGCGACGGTTTATGTGGTATTGGTGTTAGCAGTAGTGGTGTGTTTCTATGGTGTTGACGGTGGAGGTGACGGTGGTGTTGTGTTGGTGGTGGTGGTCACAAATGATTTGTTGATTGTGACCAATAAATTGGTTGATATGTGATCAATAAAGAATAAATTGTGACCAATAAATATCGCGTGGCCTACAAATTTATTAATTTGTGACCAATAAAAGTAATATGTGACCTATAATTTGATGTTTTGTGACCATAAATTTTTTGAATTGTGACCAAATTGTATAGATCTATGACCTTTATATATTTATTAATAAAATATATAATTAATTAATTCACAAATAAATTGGCTTCACTTTCATCCAATCAAATTTGTTGAATAGCAATGTATAAATTTTTTAAGCCCACGCGTATGATGAAAATTAGTGAGATGTACTTATTTTATTTTAATTCATCTAGTATTCTTAAAAGTATACAAGCGTCATTTTCTTCACAGTAGCATTGTCAAGTAATCGGTACATGAAACATGGATGCATTGATCTAGAGACCTAAAAAAAAAATAAGGGACAGATAAATTACACTGCCACTGCTTGGCACATGCATGAGTTACCTCGTCCCATTTGAGCCAATTTTTTAAAATTAAACTATTATCTCAAATTCATTTTCAACTATATATTCTCTCAATAAATAATTTTACACATAAATTCAATTTTCTTCAGAGTTAATTGTTTTAACGCTCACTGAACTTTGCACGATGTCACGTACTTACTCACTGTACTTTGACTTGCACTCCAAAACTCACCGACTAACTTCTGTTAATTAACATGGCTTACAGATCATACATGTGACTGGTTAAATAAGTCCAACTCATACCAAAACCAAAACTCTCCAGTCGAATTGCATCTCCCAAATCGGTGAAGGAATCCATTGAACTTGAAACTTCCATTTCTGTAAGAACAAAACCTATAAAATGCTTAGCAAAAATTTATTTTTCTTCAGTATCTTAGCATCGAAAAGGGTTAATGCCTAAATAGTCACTAAACTTTGCCAAAAGTTCCCAGGAGGTCACCGAACTTAAAAAATACCCTAAATAATCACTGAACTTTGCAAAAAGCTAGAGGGTCACCGAATTTCAAAACTTCTCTAGATGGTCACTTAACTTTGCAAAAAGTTCCTAAGGAATCACTGAATCATTGATATATGGGGTCCCAATTTGTAAAGTTCGGTGACCTCTTGAAAAGTTTTGACTAAGTTTAGTGACTATTTGTAAAGTTCGGTGACCCTCTAAGAACTTTTTGATAAAGTTTAGTGACTATTTAGGATATTAACTCGCATCGAAAAAGATGCATGCAATTTATGCAAAAAAAAAATGATTTCAAAGCATTTGAAAGGGAAGTAAAATCTATAACCCTTTACAGAGCAGAGAGAGGAAGATAACATGAGAGAGTAAATGAAACTGAGACGTTAAAAAATAAGAGGTTTTGAAGATAGATGACTATAAGTTTGTCGGAGGGGACAATTGGCTCAGTTTCAGTCCCATTGACCATATTATTCAAAATCTATCATTTCTCTTCATTTGAGGCTTAAGTGTCGCCCACTCTCGCAGTCCACTGGGCCTTGGTTGTGAGGATCCATTTATCTTCATCGCAGTCTACTGAACCCCAATTCCATTTCCATATTTTGGTTGGTTTGGGGTTTAGGGTATGTGACATTTTATTTATGAGTTGGACCAATTTGACCTATCACATGTACAATCCACTATCCACTTTGATTAACAAAAGTTAGTAGTACAACATTACAAAATTCAGTGAGTGATGGATTGTAAGTTAAATTACAGAGAGTGAAACGTGACGTTGTACGAAGTTCGGTGAGTGTTGAGACAATTAATTTAATTTTTTCATATATTTAATTCTTCTAAAAAAATCAATTTTTACAAAATTTATTTTTAAAAAATGTAGCTCAAATACATGTGGGGATTAAAATTAGGGTGCGTTTAATTGCAAGAGTGAAAAATGAGTGGAAAAAAATGTTTTATAGGGAAAAGATTTGTCTAGAAAATATTTTGTAGGGAAAATGATTTCAAGTGTGTTTGATTGGTATAATTTTCCACCTGAAAATTTTTTAAATTTTCTATTCTTTTGACTTTGTTTAACATGAAAATTGTCCATTAAA